TCATTGTAATGTGGCATTGCTTTTTGCTTTGTTCCAATAATCATATATTTTGTTTTATTTTTATTGATGAACATATTGTTATCATTACACCATTCCTCAACACCATGTAAATCTTCTTGTACCTTTGACTGCAGAGTTTGATAACAATTACCAGAAAGATGTTAAGTTGAATCATCAGCATATAAATCAGTGCAACAATTTTTCATATAGATAGGAAGGTCGTTTATGTATAATATAAACAGAAGGGGCCCTAATATGGAGCCTTGGGGGACACCATACTTGATATAAGTTTTTTGGAATGAGTATTACCAATTTGTACTTGTTGAGTTCTTTCATTCAAATAGGATTTAAAAAAACAAACAGCAGCATTATCAAATCCATAAATTTCAAGTTTTTTATGGAGAATATCATGATCTACTACATCAAAAGCTTTCTTAAAATCCAATAGGACTGCTAAGTTGATATTACATTCATTCATATCCTGTACCCATTTATCTATGATATTGATAAGGGCAGTTTGTCAAGAGTGTTCTTGTCGAAACCCAGACTGTGCTGGGTGTAAAAGATCTAATCTTTTTAGATAGTCATACAAATATTTTGAAACATGCTTTTCTAAAAGTTTTGATAAAACAGGAAGTACAGAAATTGGTCTATAATTTGTTGCCATGAATTTTTCCCCAGCTTTAAAAACAGGGGTTACTCTTGCATTCTTTAGAACACTGGGTAATGTACTTGTATCTATTATTCTGTTAAAAATGTAAGTTAAAGATGAAGTTATGAAGGGAGCACTCAATTTTAAAATTTTTGGTCCTATGTTATCAGATCCGGTGGATTTATTAATGTCAAGTTTGATCATCTCATTAAATAGATCATTTACTGTGATTGGTGGAATTGAAAATTTTACTTGTTTTGACTTAGTAAATTTCTTTTGTACAAATTGAGTTAATTTTGCATAATCATGATTTTTGCTCATACATCTGTCAGTCCTCAGGTTTTCAACACATGATGTAAAAAACTTATTAAAAACATTACAAATATCACTGACATTATTAGTTTTAGCACCATCTTCATTTAAAAGTTCATATGGTTTTTCTTGTTGGGATGGGTTGAGACTGTGAATACATTTCCACCAATCTTTTGAAGCTTTTGAATTTTTTACCATCTTTGAATAAAAATTTCCTTTAGATTCATCGATTATGTGTTTTGTCCTGTTTCTCCAAAATTTGAACTTGGACCACATTCCTAGTCTATGGTATTTCACTCTCATCTTCCTGGCATATGTAATTTCATTATTGAACCATTCAGGTTGTCTGTCTCTTTTTACTCTTTTAGTAACAATTGGTAAAATTGAGAATGGAAATGGGGAATGTGTCAAAGAGACAACAACCCGACCATAGAGCAGACAACAGCTGAAGGCCACCAATGGGTCTTCAATGCAGCGAGAAACTCCCGCACCTGGAGGCGTCCTTCAGCTGGCCCCTAAACAAATATGTATACTAGTTCAGTGATAATGGACGTCATACTAAACTCCAAATTATACACAAGAAACTAAAATTAAAAATGATACAAGACTAACAAAGGCCAGAGGCTCCTGACTTAGGACAGGCGCAAAAATGCGGCGGGGTTAAACATGTTTTTTAAGATCTCAACCCTCCCCCTATACCTCTAGCCAATGTAGAAAAAACAAACGTACAACAGTACGCACAGTAAAACTCAGTTTAAGAGAAGTCCGAGTCCAATGTCAGAATAGGAAACAAAAGAAAATAAACAAAATGACAATAATACATAAATAACAACAGACTACTAGCAGTTACTGACATGCCTGTTTATCTAGAACTCCATTAAATATGTCATACCACATCTGAATACATGTATACAATTTTATCAAAAGGTGCAATAGCAAAGTCACTTAGAAAACTTGTCTCATTGAATTTTTTGAAATTTCTGTAAGAAATGGTAGTATGAATATCTTTTTTGATATAAGTGGAATTTTTTTCTTTTCTAGTTAAACGAACTGGATAATGATCACTTATTGAGAATTTAGCAACATGTGATTCTAGTATCAAATCTTTATTGGTGACATAAAAATTATCAATTAGTGTACTAGAATCAGGTGTAACCTTTGTTGCTTCTTGAATAATCTGGTTGAGATTATAGGTTTATAATAGGAAGAATAATAATATCTGACAGTTATATACATTTTTTTTGTACAAAGAAATAGCAAAATAAATTGTGACCCCCAATTTTAAAAAATTGACAATTTCTTAAATCTTGAGGAAAAAAATTGAACCCCCCCCCAAAAAAAAATTAGAAAAATGCTTGTTTTGGCCCCTTTTTGACACCTATTTCCTACACGGTTGGGACCATCACCCCCAAAAACAATCTCAACCTTCCTTTTGTGGTATTGCACCTTTTGGTTATATTTCATAGAGATCCATACACTTAAACTAAAGTTATTGTCTGTAATCCAAATGTATGATTTGAATTTATATTCAATAGAAGATTTCTTGCTGTTGTGCAATACACTGTGCTGTTGTGCAATACTTAGTAAATCTGTTTTCAGACTATATACAAAGAATTAGGAAAATAAATTGTGACCCCCAATTTTTTTCTTTGGAAAATTGAGTTTCTTAAATCTTGATGAAAAAAAATTGCCCCCCTCCTCCAAAAAAAATTTTTTTTTACCCCCTCCAAAAAAAATTATATTTGAAGAGAATTTTCTTTTGAGGAAAAAAAATTCCCCCCCCCCCCCCCCAAAAAAAATGTTACCCCCCTTCCAAAAAAAATAATTTTGAAGAAATTTTCTTTTTGTAAAATGTGGTACAAATTAAGAGACATCCATACACTTAGACACAAGTAATTGTCCTGAAACTAGAAAAATGCTTGTTTATAGTAATATCTTAAAAATAAAATTCCTTCATCAGCATTTAATAGTAACTTCTAAAAATAAATTGACAGCTAGGACTTTGCAACCATAAAAACCCATTTAAAACATCATAAAAGTATTAAAAATAGAAAATGACATCATAATCATGGCTAAAATTAAAAAAATCTTCATCAGCAACATTTAATAGTACAATGTAATATCTAAAAATAAAATTCCTTCATCAGCATTTAATAGTAACTTCTAAAAATAAATTGACAGCTAGGACTTTGCAACCATAAAAACCCATTTAAATACATCATAAAAGTATTAAAAATAGAAAATGACATCATAATCATGGCTAAAATTAAAAAACCTTCATCAGCAACATTTTATAGTAATACAGTCGACTCTCGTTATCTCGAACTCAGCCGGACCAGAGAAATATTTCGAGATACACGTAGTTCGACTCAAACGAAAACCAGAAGTTTGACAGACCAAAGGACACAACTCTTGCTTAGCTTGGTAAAGCTAAAATAAATCTGGAAAGGGGATCAATGTTCTGGTATCAGATCGATGTATTTGTATGTCGTGGTCTTTCATTATTATTATCATAATAATATTATTTTTACTTATTCAATTGTTTTCTATGGCTTTTATCCAAGAGAGTAATTTTCCAATCAATCTTAGCGTTATTTAGGTCATTTAAAGTTGACAAAATTGTTTATTCTCGGATACAAGAGATTTTAGAAAATTTAGATTTCTCTTCATTTTCTTTCATCTCACTCTTTCTTTTTAAAAAGAAAATACAAGATTAAAGACGCCGATTGAGTAGTTTTTAGGTGATCACCAACGGAAGTCTTATCCCCACTTTATGCACATCCAAGCGCATCAGTGTAAATCACGATTAATTGTTTTTGTAAACATTTTAAATACTTTTTCATGAGTATTAACAATGTATCACTAATTATTTATAAAATTTTTATAAAAGATAAACTTAGGTAAACACTCGTGGAAATAGCATGTCATAAATCAATACAGTGGTCAGTGACCGGAAATTTAATTACACGTGTATTGTCAGATTAACTCTTCAATCCATTTAAATCCCAGAGGTCATGTTTTGACATTTGTGTATTAGTTCGAGATAAATAATGAATTTTGAATGCTTTTGTTAACCTTGGGACCGTAAATTAAATTCGACTCAACCGAAATTTCGACTCATCCAATTTCGACTTATCAGGAGTCGAAATACATACATTTATATGGAGCAAATTTCGGGACCACGTGGAAACTTCGACTCATCCGAAATTTCGAGTCAACCGAGTTCGAGACAACGAGAGTTAACTGTATCTAAAAATAAAATTCCTTCATCAGCATTTAATAGTAACTTCTAAAAATAAATTGACAGCTAATCACCTCAAGAGAATATAACATTTCTTTATAACAAAACCATTGTAAAGGAGGTAACTCTAATGCAAAAAAAAAAAAACAAACAAACAATAACCAATTCTGAGTATAAAAATTTATTACCACTGAACCCTTTGATATACACTATTATAATATTATATGTATTTAAATCACAGTATTTGATGTTTCTAGAAACAGCTAAAAAATATTTCATCCTAGAACTAGCAAACAAATAGCAAAAAGTACCAACATAAAGAAACAAAGCTTAAGTAATTGTCCATTAACCAGAAAACCCTTGTTTTTCCCCCCTTTTTTGCCCCTAATTCCTAAACAGATTAAGCCATGACCCCCCAAAGCCAATCCTAACCATCCCTTTGTGGTATGGAAACTTGTGGTACAATTTCAGACAATTCCATACACTGTTCCACAAGTTATTGTCTGGAAACTAGAAAAATGCTTATGTGGGCGCCTTTTCGACCCCTAATTCATAAACCATAGGGACCATAACCCCCAAAATCAATCCCAACATTCCTTTTGTGGTTTAAAACCTTGTGTTTAAATTTCATATATTTATATTTCCTTATACTAAAGTTATTGTCCAGAAACCAAATGTCCTCGGACGACGCTGATGACGACAACGACGTGATACCAATATACGACCGCTAAAAATCTGATATACATGTACCACATATCTAGGTATACTTCAACTTAAAGTTAATACTAAACTTACCTAATTCTTTATGTGGTATCAAATCTATGCTATCTTTTGACTCCAACTGTTTAGGTCTCATTTGTAAACCTTCCTTATTTCCTACAAGATTGTTTTTTATAGCTCTTGTAACTTTTGGTGTATGACGCTCAATAAGAACTTCACTATCTTCGCTGCTGTTCTTAGAACTGAGTAAAATACTATTTTCATACTCAAATTGCCTTTGTTCAGTTTCATCAGAAGTTACAAGACTGTCGCTTTGTAATATAATATCTAAATTTGGTGTGTTTTTCTCTGACCAATATGAAAATATTTCATCTTTAATTGAAGAATCTTTTATTGGAATATGTAACTGAGAATTAATTTCTTTAAAGTGTCTTGTCACATAAGGCTTTGCTTTAGCATCTGAATATATCTCTAAGCATTCATTTGTCAAAGAATTTACAGTTTGAGATGAAATATTTGAAAATGGTGTGTTTGGTTCATCCTCACATGGAGATCTGATCTCCCTTAATTTTTTGGTAGACATTTTAACTTTCTGTGGTCCTGAGCTATTAAAATTGTCTATACCTATTGATGTTTTTGAACATTTTGACTCATTTTTTCCACCTCTGACTGCAACTAAGCTGCTTGATAAGTGTTGTTTTCCTTCATCATCTATCAAAGTAGACCTTATAAGGACATCACTGGCTGTTGTACTAACATCAGATAGATAACAATTGTGCTCTTCTTTTTTATTTTCTTTCTGACTTTTAATACAATTATCTACAGACTGACTTCTAGTTGACTCCACTGATGATTCTAAAGACTGATTTGAATGCAAGGAATGAGATTTGTTCAAAGCTTTAACAGCTTTATCAGTTACTGATAGTAACTCTAAGAGACTGGAGTCTGACATCACTACAGTCAAATTTTTTCTGTAAAGAAAAAAGAAAATTTGTGAATTATAAATCATAAATATAACAATATGTATTATACTGGTATACTGGTATACTGGGGTGAAATATCCCAGCTAATCCTGAAATTTCTTTGGTACCCAATGAAAATTATTGCTAATTATAAATTGCAAATATTTGTGTTGAAAGTTACAATGTATAATTATTACATTGGTTGCAATGAGATACTTTGAATTCCCAGCGAAATAAAAACAGATAATTTCACATGTAAAATAAATCTGATAACTTCACTCCTCTGACGTCATACAACAATGTGTGTTGTCAAGATATTGTTGATGACTTTGCATCAATACAAATTAATAATGCATAGAAAAGATATAGTTCCTTGCATTGTATACTTTATTTCCCCAAAAAAGTAAATTTAATAAAAAGAATAACTAATTCAAGAATTCAAGTATCGAAAAATATTTAACTCATGAAAAAACATGGCAATGATGATTTACTCATTCATGTGATACGTGCATTCCTGAATAAATGAATATTTGGTCACTCTTTGACTTTTTTTTAAATATTTGAATTCTTGGATTAGTTATTCTATAAGGCTTAAACATATTTTTTAAAACTTATTGGTGTGTAAACTAGGCCACTGACTAACACACTTTATGAAAGACTTTTATTCAGATTGTGAGTTAGTTAATCGCCCCAGTTTACACATCAATAAACTCTAGAAAAAATGTGTTTATGTTTTGGCCCTACCTTGCTGATAAACTGGCTCAGTCATATTTGTTTTAACTTGGATATGATTTTTGGATTCTTTAGAATATTCTGTGGGAGTAAAATTAAAACCCATTTGTTTTTTAATGATTTGAGATAATTTCAAAGATAAAAATTTACATTTGAGTTAATAATTAGCGATAAATAAATCCTAAAAATACTTGTGATCATTTTGATGAAAATACTAATATAAAATGTAACAATATTATACTATAAAGCAACCTAAAAATTGAATATGCGTAAAAATCATCATTTAATGGGCAATAACACCAAAGAGTTGACCAACATACATTGTATTTGACCATGCTGTATATTTCTGTGTCCTGCTGATCTTGTTTGCTGTTTTAAATTTCTATTTATCTCTTATAGTTTTCGGGATAATAGACAAAAATGCCAAAAATTGGTAAAAATCGACATTTAAGGGCAATAACTTGTATTACTAGAGGGTGTGCACCTAGGTCTATGTACATCTTCGTCAATTCACACTCTCCATCATTGTAGACTAAAATGGAATTCATGATTAAAATCTCTTTTTGGTTGATCTTGTGTTGCTTATCATTTTTCCATTTCACAAACTTTATCTTCTTTAGTTGTTGCCCAAAACACAAAAAAGGGTTAAATCAAAGTGCTTGTAAGCACTGAAGGGTAAAGATTGCTTTAATTTATCAGTGGGAAGTGAAATTAAACCTTGCATTGTATAAAGCATTGGATGTACTACAATTATGGACAAAGGTAGATAACTACAATCTTAAAGATTACTTTAACAATGACATCATTGATATTTTTAGAACAGATATTAAGTTTCCTGCACTTACACAAGTTACATGTAATTTTCTTGACAAGTTTAATATCATTTTGTAACTTCAATATCTAAGCATATATTTCATTGATAAATTTCTGGGAATGTTCATGGATAGGATGTTTAGAATGTTATGATCAATGCACTATATTTTGTGTATCTTAAAAAGTAGTGATAAACCTTGGAAGATTTAGATATCAAGTCAGTACCATAGGGTTTTAATTGCATTTTATGCAATCTTTACCCCAAAAAATATAGTCTACTAACAATTTTGTCAAAATTTGACATATTTGTAGATCTTGTCCTGCAGATCATTTTTGCTATTATAGTTTTTTTGAAAGATTGGAACTATTGTTCCAATTCTTTCCTGAGGTATCAGCCTCCCAAACAGAAAGTAGACAGATTAGCTACTTTTTGTACTAAATCTATACACACTGAAATATATAGTTCCCAATAATTCTCATTATGTGTACATGTGTACATAATGAACTGGGCAAAATTTGGGTTATATCTTTAAAACAGTTCATTTAGGTATGTATTATCTATTATTTTGTCACTTTGCTGGCTAGTTATGTCAATTTTATTAGCATGATTACGTAAGAGCACTGATACAATACCGGTTTGACAATATGATTAACAACTGTTATAACAAGTAATAGCTTTTGAAAAAGTTTTCTGAAAAGCTAGCCATCTCATAGGTGATGAAATTTGAAAATGTTTGACAGCAAATTTTGATTATTCTTATACTTTTGATGTTATATGTGTTCACTTTGGACTCACCTGCAGTTTTGAAAATGATGAGTCCAGACAGACTTTCATGAGTCCAGGACTCATGGACTCACCTACATGTAAGTGAGAACCTGGTAACATTCATCTACAGTGTAATAAAATTGTTTTCAAAATCAATTAGTGACCATAAGAGGAGAACAATGGTATACCTATGTTTCATCATACAAAATCCTCACAAAACATCCTTTTCAGGTTAATTTTGGGAGACAAATGTCTTAGTTTCAAGTCTCTTTATCTATTGGTTTGAGATCTCCTATATTAAAAAACTTTATTAGAATAATCTTTATTCGATAATTTCTTTTGATTCTAAAGATGTAAACGTAAATTCTAATATGACGTGCTTCTTTCGCTTTGTAAACAAAAGCGTGATAAAATTCTTGATATATCTATACTTAGCGCAGACTAAGAGATGTACATATTTATGGCTGTTACTATTTACTTCCCACCACTACAAACTGCTCAGAGTCAGAAAAGACCATATTTTGTGCTCGGTCGAGCACAGATTTTACTTGATAACGACTCGGCATATTCTCGACAGTACTTAATTGTACTCGACTTTGGTCTCGACTTTACTTAATAAGTCTGATTCAGTACTTGATAATCTTGATATAGTCTGAAATGGTCTCAACAAATGCTCAACCAGGTTCAACTCAGTCTCGACCAGTCTTGACCTGTCTTGACCGGTCTCGACCTGTCTCGACCAGTCTTGACCTTTAAATTTAGTCTAGACTGGTCTGAATCAGCCCATCCTACTCAATTATATATTGATCTTACAAAATTCCAGGTTATTTGGTAGTTTGTTTCATTGCTTTCAAATTAAAGGATTTAATTAAGAAATAATTCATGCAAGCCATAGATTTGTTATCATTTTCACATGGCCTGGGCCGTTATATTCATTAATTTTATCCCTCGCTAATGCTCGAGATAAAATTCAAATATAACGAACCAGGCAATGTGAAAATTTCCAACAAATCTATGGCTTGCATGAATTATTTCTTAAACATGAAACAGGGAACATTATTTGATTAAAATATAAAATTGCAATTTAAATAAAATTTTTATGTAAATTAAGGGGCCTACTATCATTGACTCACATTTAGCTGAAATACTACCGGTATATATTAACTGCAGTAAACGCAACTGTCTGCAATAGTGCTATCAATCAAGCTTTTTTGGGGTCCACACCAAACCTACAATGTACATATAATTTGAAATTATTCAAACTACTCTACCAATCTTTCCATAAGTGATTACGATCACTTTGATAAAGATATTAGGCAAAAACGCAAAATAATTGTTAATATTAATCATTTCACATCATTAAATCCCTATAAGAAGCCGTCTGACAGTTTTGATTGAAATTGACAGTAGATGGATCTCAACATTTTGAACCTTTCTGCCCTGTCAGATTTTCTCTTTTTATAGTGGTTTTCTATATAAGATAATAGACAAAACTTGCATTTTATCCCTTTGTTCTATTTTTAGCCATGTCGGACATGTCAATTCGCAGGTGGGTCATCAGACACATTTTTCAAACTAGATACCCCTATGATAAATGTGGCCAAGTTTGGTTAAATCTGGCCAAGAAGCTTCAGAGGAAAAGATTTTTGTAAAAGCTAACAGACAGCGACGGACAAGGAAAGCCAAGTGTTGAGAAAAGCTCACTTGGACCTTTGGGCCAGGTGAGCTAATAAAAACAAGAGGCTCCCAAGAGCCTGAATTGCTCACCTGATAAAAATATGCAATCTTGATATTTATTTTACTTTAACACCATCAGTTACAAGTATGTTTGCTTACTTGTAAACCTTATTTTGTGGCATTTTTGTAAATCTTGTATTGATGATCATTTTAACTGTTTACAGTTTATACTTATCTTTTAAAGTTTTTGAAATACAAAATGTAATTGGCAATATTTTAGAAATAGGAAAAAAAAGGTCATTTAGGGACAATAACTCCTACAAGGAGTCAGTTGACAATTTCGGCCATGTTGACTTATTTGTATATATACATGTATTATGGTTTCAGGGGACAATTACTGATTTCAACCATGTCACTTTTTTGTAGACAGATAGACGGATATGGTGATTCCTATATACCCATTAAATTTGTTATAAATAAACAAAATATCGGAATTTTCAAATATGTTCAAAATTTCATCAAAAGGTCAAACAGATTTCTTTTTACCTATAGCTCCTATTTAATTCTATAAATTGCTTTACATGTATGCTCGTTATACTATTATTGTATTTATTCGTATTGTATTATGGAAAGAAGACATCATAATTATGATTTATTTTTGTCTAATCTATTTTGCTCTAATTTAGCAAATAAAATATGTTTAAATTAAGGTAGCACAATACAAAAGCAACTAAATTTTATCAAAATTTCATTTTCAGCTGTTTTTGTTACTTCTTAATATTCCAAAACCACAGAAGAAAATTTCATTTACATATCTTGAACTGTTAATGAGTTTTGATGATAATTAGTTTTACAACATGTATAAACAAATGCACGTGTCTGACTGATACAAGATAAAAACGTGTGGGCAGTACTTTGTGGTTAATCAATAGAATCAGTTGATAGCTTTATGACCACTGACCAGCAATACTAATACCCGTTACGAAAAAGAGGTGGATTAGGGATTAATGGAAAAATGAAGATAATGAATTCCAAATAAAAATACATTTCATTAATGTAGCTGCCAGGAGAAAAAAAACAAAGTAACAATTTGGAGATATAGAGGGAATTAAAATATAAATGTACAGAAATTAAACAAATGTAATTGTATAACAATTAATGTACTGGAATTTCTTGGGGGAGAATGTTTAGATGTGAATTCTTTTTAATAGAAAATACAAATTAAATATTTCATTTTCAAACTGCAAAATTGAACAAAATCTACTTTGTGTAAAACACTATAGTGTCCTTGTATACAATTACAATTCTAAAAATCCCCCATAAGGATCCCCTAAACTGACCAACTGATCATTCTGTGTACACATGCATAACTTACTTTTTGTAACAATAAAAAAACAAAATATATTATGTTATGTACTAAATGAATAAAATCCATATTGAAAAAAGTAAATGCAATGTGTAATTAAACTTCTGAGATCATTAGTAGTAAAGGTTTATCATGGTGGGCGGAGTTTTGACCATATCAGTAGCAACTGACTTACAACAAGGTCAATAATGATGTAACATCTCCCGCCAGATCTGGTTTTTGATGCATAGGGTGTGCATTTTCTCTATATATTAAGAATTGCTGAAATTGAATGCTTTCTTACTGGTCAAAACCTAATTGATTTATGATTGAAGGCCAATCCTGAAATATCCCAATGGTACATGTGTGAATTATATTGAAGTTAATGGGGTACAAGTAGGAAAATCCTTATTTATTCAATTGTGACACATTCATTTTTGTCATGAAAATGTAGTTTTAAATGAATTTAGCTCCTAGATAGGTGCCCCTATATGTCTGATTTTCACACATGTTGTTCCTTGACCAGTTATCTTCAAAAGGGTGTCTCAGATTTCCAAAAACATCAATAGAACAAATTTTATACCCAATTAAATTTAGTGATCTCTTATGAATTTAGGTTGCAAACTTCATTGAAGGTTTATGAGAAAATGAAAATACAATAGGAAAAATCTGAGACACCCTTTTGGAGGTCAAACTGTGTTATACAAGAATCTATAAAATATTTTGGGATGCTATGAATAACAAAGAAGCTATTTTCATTCAAGTGTGGACATCTCAATATAGCAACTAATTACATAATAATTAATTATGTAATAATTATGTCAAATTGACGTTTTCACCATTTGAAAGATTAATCTTTCTTCTTTCTTTTGGTACCTCATTTATAAAATTTAAAGCTGGATGAAAGAAATTACATCAGTTTAAAGTTGTCTGATTGGGGGTGAAAAAATCTTTGTATTGTGCTACCTTAAAAATTTGTTATAACTACATTTTCATGACAAAAATGTATGTATGTGTCACAATTGGATAAATAATGGAACCCTGAACATAAAAAATCAGATAGATCTGGCAGGTGAAGTTAAATCACCATTGACCTTGTCTAAGTCAGTTGCTACTGATATGGTAAAAACTTCGCCCACCTGGATAAACATCACCTATTAATGATCTCAAAAGTTTAATTACACATTGAATGCGAATGAGTTGAAATAAATAAACACCGTACAAGACGGTTCCAAAGGAACATCTCCGTCCAAAAAAGGAAAATTAACAATAGGGAAAGAAAAATCATCCCTTTTGTCGTAAATTTTTGTTTAGAGTTTCTGGTGTAATATTGAAATATCTAAATCTAGGAAAGGACAGTTATTGCTGTTGATATTTGATTTATTTAAATTAAGTTCCTTTGGATAATTTTCAGCAGTATATTTAGAGAATTCTTAATAATTTAACGAAACAATAGCATCAAGATAACGGTAAGTGTTGTTGAATTTATCAATCAAATGGAATTTAGACGGTTCTTTACTGAGTTTGGCCTATCTGTGATTCATAACAGTATAGGAACAAGTCTGCTATTAAAGTGGCACAATTGGTGCCCATAGGACTACCTACAACCTGTCAATAAACTTGATTGCCGAAACGTACATAAATGTTGTCAAGGAGAAAATTTAGGGGTTTAATCATCTCATCACACCTCCAGTAAGTATATCTAGCATATTCACCTTTCTCATTTGAGAAAAAGGCTTCATATGAGTTGCAGCAAATAAATTTGCAATCAGATTTATCAAACGACCATTAATTAGATAGGAAAACTTATGTTTGATAGGATTGTGTGGAAGTGTAGTATAAAGAGTGGAAAAGTCAAAACTGTCAACCGAATCAAAAGGACCATCAAAAGCAAGTAATTTATTTAAAACATCCAAAGGATTTTTTACACTCCAAAAATGGTTAATTCCACTATTTTCATATGTTTTATTACAAAAATTAATGATAAGTTCTGTGATAGTAGTTAAGGAACTCGTTAAAAGCACCGAAAGATTAGTGTAGAACACTTACTAGAGGCTGAGATGAAACGATATTATACAGGTTTTTTGTGTAGTTTAGGTAATCAATACATATTGGGGACCTTCAAATGTTCAGGGGAGGCCTTAAGCTGAACTGTGGTAGTGACATGGTAAGAACACCAAACCCTTTGCGAATACTTGAACTTTGTTTTTAATCCTAGAAATTGGCGTATTTTATTGATTTCTTAAATTTTTTTTCGAAATGTGATATGCAGATATTAACAATATTCAGACAATTATTCAAATAGGAATCAAGTGATTTTTTGTCAGATTTCTCCCGCTTACACCATTTTTCACAATAGAATGAAAGAGCATCTTTATTAACCTGACGACACTCTTCCCAATTATTTTCAATAGTGGACGATATTTTGGTCCTTTTTTCAGAAAGTTTATAACCTCTCGGTCTTGAACGATGTTGAGGTCCCCTGTAATTACATGGCAATAGGGATCATATCTAAACTTCGATGTGTCACTGTCTCATGTTGAAGGAGCATTATTTTCTATACTGACGTCTGATGTAACTGACGTATAATTAAAATATAAACTTCTACTGGGTTTTTTATACGAATAAGAAATTATAGGTCGCTCGATGTTATCAAAATATGGAGGTATAAAGTTTGGAACAGTAGAGTCATGAAAAATACTAGACAAATTAATAAAATCAATACCTCTATCAATGTATTTTATTTTTAGAAAATATTCTTTATGATCTTCAGGTTTGTCAATTGGAGGGAACAGTCTTTGGTGACAATAAAATGCTTCTCCGAGCTCAGCCTGATACGACTGCAGAGGTCGAACCCTGAACAGTTGGGGCAAGTTTGGACACAATATTCAAGCTTGATACTGTCTGAATTTGGATTGTGATCAAATTTTTGACATAATATAGGTTTCTGACACAAAATAAATGTGGTCAAAGATCTTAACAATTTGAAATGGGACATTTAATTCACCTAGTATGGTCTGATATCCAAAATCTAACAACATGGTTAGATTCAGCATATAAAAAAACACCAAAAATTTAATTTTAGTTGAAATCAAACAAAAGTTTAATTTTGGACCCTTCAAACCTTAATATGGACTAATTTGAAAACAGGGCCCAAAATAAAAAATCTAAATGCACAATAAGATTCAGCATATCATAGAGCCCAAT